ATTTCTTTAGTAATTATTGCCAATAATTTGAGCACATGTTCCCTAGCAGACTTCGTGTTTTTTGGTTCTAAATAGTCTCTTGGACCTGCATAATTAAGATAAAAACCAGTTGTAAATCCATTAAGTAACAGTTGGGCATCTTGAATTTGAGGATACTGAGCTAGGTATTTCTGAAGTACTGGGAGCTTAATTGGAGTAGAACATAGGCGTGTTAAATCTTGGTCTTGGCAACTGGTATTGCCTTGGGCGATAGGGACGAAAATTAAAGTTTGATTGTTGGGTGTAATTTTGCTGACCCGCGACTGGATGAGTTGGGTTTATCCTAATGTTAGGTTGTTGGTTATGATTTTGCTGGCTCGATATTGGAGGGTTGGGATTAGATCTTGAAAATTGAGTTAACATTATCTGGTAGGACCAACAGTGTACTGTATACGTGGATGGGACTTGTTGCAGTGCATGCATGCATGCTGGTAGAAACACTGGGGTTTGGAGCATGAGCCTTTGAGATTGTAATCAAAACATTTAAGAGATGCTTTTGGCTGTTGAGCAGTTTGATTAGGTTGCGCCTGCATGTATATTAACCACAATTCTGCGTCAACTGATCCAAAGGAAATGGATGTATTTTTGGACATTTTAAGACGGAACTGTCTGTCATATTCAAGCCAGTTAGCATTTATGTTTCGGCTGTAGCCTAGGCGTACCGTGTGCAGATATTTTAATATGCCCTGAAAATCTGAAGGGTGCCTAGCAAGATATATGCTTGAAAATATCAAAAAGGCATCTACCCAACTTTGAATTGTAATAATTTTGTTGGTTTTAGTTTTGGGTTCTATGACTAATTAACCTTCAACAATGGAAAATTTATGGAGGTCATGATTGTCTATTTCTGAATAAAGGACTTTAGCTAAATCAATATATTGTTTGGACCATATTTTTTCCTTGATGGCCTGAGGGACATGAGCCCCAAGCTCATAAGAAATGCGAATTAATGGAGTTTCACCAGAGTTTGATGCCATGGTGATTGGTAAGGATTGCTCTGGTGTTGCGACGTCTAGGTTACTGTCCATGGTCTGCAGAGGTAGTGGAGGATGACTAGCAGCTTGTTGAACATGCAATTCAGGTTGTGTCATGGAGGGGGGGGGGCTGCCTTATAGCTTGTTGGACTTGAGGTCCCTGATCCCCTGTGGCAGGAGGACTGAGAGTTTCAACTGATGGGTGAGGAGCCTGGTTAACCGATTGCCGGACATCTGCTGGCTGTGAAGTCTGAATCACAGTCGTTGGAGTAGTTATGGCCCTTTCAGCTTGAGTCCTGATTGGCCCGGCATAGGTGGACTTTGATTTGCGTTTACTACACCGCAACATTCCCGTAGCTTCTATGATTATATACTTTACCCAAAATTATTGGATGGCGGGAATGGATGAAGATCACTGGATTACGGTGGATAGATCGTTGAATTTTCTGTTGAGATGAAATTCCAGAAAGAATTTCCGATTGGAGCGCGCGTAATATATATGTGTATTAACAAGGGATGGTATCAAAACTTGATAATTGTAAAGGGTAGTATCAAAGGTCAGTAATAATAATGTTGTAAGAGTTATGCTTCTTTGATTATGTTACAAGAAGTTGATCTACTCATTTCCATAATATGACTTAACTCATATTGAGTTAAGTCTGATTAACTATGAATTTAAATGTGCATGAGATCAGAATATGTCTGCTCATATAAACTGTATTATAGTCGTAAGCTCAGCATATTTTTGCTCTTAAATCTTTTTATATATTCTTTGGACAATTGGGCATGAAATAAGCATATGGTTGCTCATAATTACTGTATTGTTATATAATTATAGTCGTGAGCTCAGCTACTTTGCTCTTAAATCTTTTTACATAGACTGTGAACTTTATACACGAATTCAGAATATGGCTGCATATATGGTCGATACATGTACATTGAGTTAATAATGTAATTTACGTATGTTTGATGCTCACACTACTGGGCGAAAGAAGTGCTGAGAATCCCAAATTTTACTGATAATGTTTGATAATTGCTGATACTGTGCTGTTCTTGCTGATAGGTACTGACATTTACTGTTATTATTACTGTTGTTGCTGATAATTTTAGTTGTTTCTGATAAATACTGATATTTACTGTCGTCTTTACTGTTGAGTCTGATAAATACTGATAAACACTGTTGCTGTGCTGTCGATGCTGAGATTTACTGATAATTACTGTGGTCATTGTTTTTGAGGTGAGAAGGTGCTAAAAAGCCTGAGTGATTATTAATTGTTTTAAAGAAAGTATTTTATCAACAAATTCATTACAGTCTACTTACTAGTCAAATTCTAAATGAAAAAGTCACATGAATTATTGTTTACGCATTTCATAATTCATTTATTTATTTTTATTTTATTATTATCTTTTACATCTTAATAATAATTTAGATCAAAAATGTTTATATTTCCTTTATCGTTATATTTCTCCTTAGTTGTCAATATCTGAACGGTAAAGGGGGGGGGGGTGTCATGCAGTGGTTTCTCTGCTCAGGTACTTTTTAAAATATTTTTTATTCACATAGGTTTTTTTAAAAAAAATCCCATCTCATATTTTTTTTCCACGTGTATTTGTATTGTTTCAGGAAAATTTCAGGAAGCATTTTTAATACAGTCAATGGTTGCAATTATCAATTTATATTTTCATGTAGAGAACCTGAATATTTGACAAGTAACATGTATGAGAAGGTTCCGTCTGCTCTGTTAGTTGAGACCACCACCCCCCCCCCCCTTCTTACATACAATTCTCCTTTTAACAAGGCAGTATTAAATATTTCTCACAAAAAATCTATACAAGTAACATACACTATGCCCTTTTAATGAAGAATGTGACAGGTTCAAATAATATAAGATTTAACCATCTTAAATTTGTTGAATTATCTCTTTTAGCTAGTGCGCTCTAGTTCTATAATCAATGTCCTCCTCGCGATATTTTTAATATCATTTTGTGGTATCAAGCTTTCTCTCTTTCGTTGGTTTTTATTTTATTTTTAAGCCATCAGTAACTAGAAATCTTATGCAGTGAGATTTTCATTCAATGAAATGCGCATCTTTCTTTCTTCGTTATTACGATATACGTAATTACTGGTAACAGCTAGATCAATTAAAAAAAAATAACCTGCTTATACGCGGTCAGTTCACAGTGGCATCTTATCCACTCTGTTCTCTACTTCACATATAAAAATATACAAGCCTTAGGGAAGAATCGAAAGTAGCACACGATTTGTAAACAAAGTCAAAAAACAACTTACTTGAGAAAAGTTACACAAATCCTCGTATGTACTAGCGCAAATGATGTCCTAGTACTTATCCAGGCTAAAATATTTCAAATATATCCAACTTAAATAGCTTTTATCCAACTAAAACCCTAGCTTTCTGCACAGTGTGAAACTCTTCGCCCAAGAAAAGACAACTCGGCCTCGGATGACAATTTCCGCTATTCGGAACTTTTCGGAACTTTCTATATTGAGAGATGTAAAATCCATAAATATTCCGAGAAATATGGATTGTCGACAGCAAAGCCAAAGCGAAGCATTTAAATATGCGAAGGATGGTCACAATATCTTACTTACAGGCTTTCCAGGAACTGGAAAATCTTACTGTTTAGGAGAGATTGTTGATCATCTTTCACAAACCAAAAAAGTTGCCTTGACCAGTACCACTGGCCTTTCAGCATCACTGTTGCTGTCATCGAACAGGTCAGTACGTTAGAAAAAAAATTGAATCTCCATTAACATCTTTATAAGAGCATTATAGTCCAGAGTATACTTTCTCAATACATTAATAAAATATATGGAAACAAAAGTTGAAAATGAAGGGGGGTATACTTCATTGAGCTGGTGTTGTGTGTGTTAGGAGGTGGGGAGGGGTAAAGTCATTTTGATGCCTATGTACAATAACTAATACTAATACTTTTTTGAATAACTTTTTCTCATTATATATATATATATATATATATATATATATATATATATATATATATATATATATATATATATATATATATATATATATATTAGGGATGTCAACGAGTACCCGGTTAACCGGGTACTCGATCGAACGTTCGAGTATCGAATACTAAAATTGGTACTCGGTTACTCGGATGTGTATTTTTTCTTATTCAAAGTACATATTTTTTTCCAAAAACTTATCAAAAATAACTTAAATATGCATATGGTATTTAGCGTGTCGTTGTCTTCACCTGTAAAACACCTGGTATCGCCTGTGGCTGTGTATATATAGTAATTAGTGACCAATCACCCAGCTGTTCTCACCTATTGTGGTCCTTAATTTTTGGATGGCTTCAATGATTGTTTTCAGTGAACATCGATGGTCTATTATTTTCAAATCATTTTAAAATTATTTAGTTAATATACGGCAGCGAAATCGGACATGCATAGAAATGCTGCTACCCACTTCAAAAGTGAAGAAACATTTGAAAATAACTAACGATTTAAAAAAAATGTTGAAAGTCAGTTTGCGTATAGTAAATTTATTGTATACGGGGGAAACAATCAACATATGAAATAATATTAGACTAGCGATCCCAACAACGGCCGTTCCTTCTCTTTCGCTAGTCTTATCATCACAAACCTGCGTAACAGATTGTCCTCCTCTTGAAGAAATACATCCTAAACAAGAACTGTAAACCATTTGTAATTTTTTGCAGTATTAATTGTGTCTTTTGTGTTTGACAAATAAATTTAGTACCAAAAATCATTTCCGTTGAAATCGATGTTTATAATTATACAATTTTTAAACGTGATAAAAACAGCTTTGGGGTTTAACAGAGCTTAACTGGGCTCAAGAAATTAATACACTTGAATTTACATTTTTTTACCGAGTACCCGGGTACTCGATCGGAAAAACGTTCGAGTAACCGATTATAAACAATTGACCGATTTGACATCCCTAATATATATATATATATTCAAATGTTTATACAAATCTGCTGGTACTGTTCATAAATTTTGTGGGCTAAAAGATGGGAGATATGAGAATGAAGAGTTGGTGGACTTGATAAACAATTCAGAAAGTTTTGTGAAATATAAAATAACTATACTTCGCTGTGATGTTTTTGTCATTGGTAAGTACATGTATTTAATGTTTTGCTTTTTTCCATATCTTGAAGCTTTAAATTTCCATGTACATTTTGTGAATTGTTGAGAATATGTGAATTTGAAAAAAAAAATCATGAAGTATGATTGATCAAATATTCATTTCTGTCATTAAATATATGGATATCAACCCCAATGTTACATGATGAAAATTTTTATTAATAGATGAGGTCTCAATGTTAAGCCAGAGACAGTTTGAACAGATAGAGTATGTTTTTCGCCACTTAAAAGATGTTTCTAAACCTTTCGGAGGCTGTCAGGTAAAATTTTCTTATGTCTCTTTTGTGGTTACTCTTCTTGATGTATACATTTTGTATATTTTAAAATGAAGGAATTTATACAAATTTCTAACTGCTGTGTAAGTAAATTTTCCATTGGGCCTTGTTTCTTATCCCTTCAATATTTATTTGTATTATATACCCTGGTAATAATACTTCAGGTTATCTTAAGTAAAGATTTCTTTCAACTTCCACCAGTTCCCACAATAGAGTATGGAGATCCTGGAAAAAGTATTGAGGAAAGCCGGCTTTTAGTATATTTTCACCACATTCACCTCACACATGTTTTTAGACAAAAGGAGATAGACTTAGTTCAGGCCATCCATGAGATTGCCAGGTTTGATATAAATCTAATTTTGTCACACACTAATTAATCAACAATGAGAACACATATGAACATACCTTTTACATTTACATGCAATAACAAATAAAAAAAAAATGTGCATATTTGAAATTCTTTTCCAATGTATTTAGTATCACATCTTTTCCAACAGTGGTGAGCTTTCCATTACATCACAACAACTTTTGCAAAGGATGAAGAGGTCACTCCCACCTGGAGAGAGAGAGCTGTCAAGTTAATGGCTTGAAGGGAGGATGTTTTCTGTGGAATGCCAAGTGCCTCAGAGAAATGCCAGGTAAAAATTACCACTATTAAAACTACCAGGTAAATTACATGTAAACTGATATGACTTTACCAAATGATAGTGTTTTTTTTTTATTGAGGCGTAAATTTTATTTCTGTGTTCTGGCAATTATCACCAATTACTTTCAGTGGTTCTCTTTTTACTCGTTTCTGTGGTTTGCCAACATGGACATCATAGTTCAAAGGATCTGCTGAAGGAATTCCTGCATTAGATTTCCTACCTCTGGATACCGAGGACTGACCCAAGATGACGCTGTTCAAGGTGCACTGATAGGATGCATAGGTGGTATTGGTAGTGTTTCCATTATGTAATCCCCGGACCTGACAGAAATTGTTTTCAATGATATCTGAGTTGAAACGAGATGGGTATACTCCAGCTCCTGGAAATCTCTTTAAATGTTCTTTGGTAATTTCTGTGAAGGTTGAAATCTGACTGTCCGTATCTTCTAGGCATTTTAAACTGGATTTCATTTTGCTGTCACCTGATGAACCACCCTCGTCTCTCCAGGATCTAAACCAATCTCTAATGGAAAGTAGTGTGCCTAAACGCTTGTCATATATGCTTGTGATTGGAACTCTATCTCTAAAAATGGATATAAGAAGATTAGTGTGCTCTAGTAAATCAACCGTTCTATCTAACTCCTGTCCTTTTCGTAATGATTTGCGATACTCCTTCATCAAATGAAGCATGTTGGAATCCAGAACTTTTTCTGCCAAATGGTTACGCATTTTTTCTGCTGAGTCTGCGTTCAAATGAGATAAGGTTATTTTGTGGTTGATTCGTCTGGAGTAAGTATTTTCATCCCAGTTTGCTGCTGCAATCCACTGGCTCCAAGTTATGATGTTAGAACCTCTCTGCAGTTTTCTGGTCTGGAAAGACTCAATGCCACTGCTTAAAATTGCATTTCTTATCTTTTTGATGTTATGTGAAAAGTCTTGAGAATGTGCAATCTTCATTGTTGGGTTGACTACATTCAAACTGCAGAATTTTTTTTCCTCTGGCTTCTTTATCATCAACGAAATGCAACTTCATAAATTCTCTTTTCTGTGTTCCACCATCTTCGAGTATGTATGTCACTTTGAATCCCCAGGTTTGTAGTTCAGATATTATGTCATATATGATGGAATATATTTCACATGCTGTTATCCCTTCTGTAGGATAGTGTGCAACAGGGAATCTAAATCCAGTGAATCCTAAAAAGGACACTTGAAACACTTCAGTAGCTAAAGCACATTCTATAGACTGAGATTTTGTTACTCTGATATTATTTCCCTCCTCTCCTGTGTCTATCCAACCAATCAACTCCGCTGATTTCCCTTTACAATTCATTACCAAATCCTGTTGGACTCGCGATTCATCATGTATAACACCACCATGATATCCCGCTGGTGGGATATTATGTTCTTTAGCTACATTTGCCATCCATCTAAATACATCTTTGTTAATACCAGTCTCTTGTTTAACATAATTTTTGTATTTCTGTAGCTGTGTGCCACATGGCAAAATCAGAACACCACTACTCTGAAGATCCTTGTATGACTGAGGACTTCTAGACCAGAGCTTTAAACACACTTTGATTATATTTCTGTCCCATCTTTTTAGTCTGTTGTCTTTAACTTGCAATGCATCATGCTGAGATTTTAAAAGAATTTTCGTGTTAGTAGGTGCAGTTGGAAGTATTTTCTCTAAAATAGCTGTAAAATCTTCCTCTTTCTCTTTTAAATCAATATCAGTTGTTTCTTCTTTAAGAAATTTCCCTAAGGATGCACTACATCTCTTACATGTTTTGCTAAGAGCAAACCAGCCAATCACAGCAACACAGGTATTGCATCTGAGTCTTGACTGGGTCATATCATTAATTGAGATATGCTCCAACTTTTTATGTTGAGGTATACTCTTCTTTTTATCACTTGTAGTAAATTCTAATCCATAGCAGAGATTTGCTCTTTGAAATGTATGGAGTAAGGCCTGTAATTCATCAGCTGAAGATAAATCACATTTATTTAACCCTAAACTTTCTAAATCGATATTTTTACTAAACACTTTCAGACAGTAGTTTCTTTTAGGGAGTCAATTGTTACTTCCTTTAGTATTCTATTTCCATTGATGATCATATCAGTCATAATCATTAAATGGACTGTATCTTCATGTTTTTGCAGTAAATGAATGCCGTGGAGGAGAAAGCTTTCAATGTTACATGCATTAATGCTCTGTGACTGTAGGGTTTCATTACTTCTCAAGATTACACCTTTGTATATTTCAATTTTTCTACTAATGAGGTTTTCACCGAATTTACGTTGTCTGTATGCTACTGCATTTGGAAACATGCTCATAACTAATTTTCCAGCAGTCTTTTCATCAATAAAGCCATCGGAATTTTCAGACTGTTTTTTGGCAAATTCATTGTAATCATCAACTATGGCATTTAGAGGAGTTTCTCCGTCTCTATCTACCTTTAAATTTCTTGCAAACCTACAACAAATGCAATGCTTTTTTTTATCACACTTGACATATCTGTAAAAATTTGCAGATTTCAAGAAAACCTTTTAAAAGGAAAAAGTTTTATGTTTTTTCAAAATAATTTTCAGATTTTCAGTAATGCTTCAAAATACTTTTAAGACCTGTCAGAGGTTTTAAGCTCACTTGAATAAGGTGACCTATTCTACAGTGTACAATGGGCCACTGCAATCAAGTGAACTTGGTCCATAGGGGCAACCTATCTGCTCCGTGTTCTCTGTGGCAAATGTAACAAATAGAACAGAGCAGATACACTACCCCTGCTTGGTGCCTATATGAGCATGGCATTTTGTTGTTGTTGTTGTAAATTCTACTGTATCCTATAAACCTGTTTTCAAATTAAGTTTGTATTGTCATAGGTTATGATGAACAGTACATGTAATATGTAAGATAGTCACAATTTTATTTGAAATTTATTGATTCAATTGCAGGTGAAGAAAAGATATACAGAAGCAGAGAAGAGGGATGTACAGCTGGAATACAGAGTGAAAGTGAAATTCATTTGAAGATTGAGGCCCCGGTCATTTTAACTGCAAATTTAAACGAGACTTTAGTGAATGGACTGCAAGGAACTGTAGTGCTGATGCATGAAGATTATGTGAAAATAGATTTTCATGATAGTGGGACAGTGGACATTAAACCTTTCAACTTTACAAAGTATGACCCAAAATTAAAATGTGATGTTGGAAGTCGCACACAGCTACCAGTAAAATTATCTATTGCTATCACTGTTCACAAGTGTCAGGGAATGACTTTGGACCATATAGAGGTAGACTGCAGGGGTATGTTTGAGTATGGGCAGCTGGCCGTTGCAGTGAGCAGAGTCAACAAAAAGGGACTTCGAATATTAAATTTCACCAACAAACTTATCCTCAAGCCTCCAGAGAGCATTACTACATTTTTTTAATAATGAACGAATGGGAGTTTATGAAAATAGCCTTTCCTGCTGTAGAAATTCAAGTTTCAAAAAAAATCCCAATGGAAAGTCCTGTGGATTTTAAGGAAGATGATGATGATGATGATGATGATGATGATGATGAGCTGGTGGTGGAAATGTTAGAATATTTGGAGCAGCAAGATATCTCGACCCCCTTGAATCTGGAGGATGAATTTGAAACACCTCTTCCAGCTCATTTAAATACACAAGACATTGTTTCAATTCTCAAACATGAAAATCCACAAACAAGTTTCCAAATTCAAGAAAACCAGGCACTGGAATTTCTCAGCAGTCACCTTACCTGTGCTGAATTTTATTTTAAATACATCTGGAACAAATTAAAAAAATCCATGTCCACATCTGTTGAGGCTGCTGATTTGTTGGCAATAAGACTAGGAATCTGTTCTTCAGAAGCTTTCAAGAACTGGTCACTTCTGAAACCTACAAGAAACTTATCTGTGAAAAATTATTTCCTAACACCACTCTTTCTGATGAACATTACAGTATTGGCTTCCGGTTAGCAACACACCTCAGGAAGGAAATTTTGAATCAACATGCCAAACCTATTAAAGACTAAGCTGAAAGAGATGCACTTTCAAGCGTAGGAAAACAGTTTGTAGAGTCCGATGGTGGAAAAGGAAAAATTCGATATTTAGGTGGATGGTGTCTATCAAGAGTGAGAAAGCAGACTTATGACAAATGTTTACAACTCTAAACAAACTGATTTGATTTCAGCTTTGACAATTGAAAAGGAATTGATAGATTTCTTAATTAAAGTTTCTGAAAGTAAAATCAAAGAAAACTCAGCCTTCATTGAGACATTAAGTGAAACAAGCAGAAGAAAAAATTTCGCAAAGGATTGACACACATTACAGATCCTGCTTTCAATTTTTTTATTGAGTTTGATATTTTAGTTCGAGGACTTCAGAACAAGGCCAATATTAATGTCCATGGAAAACATATTTGCGCATACCTGAGTGAAAGGGTTTTAAACTCTGTAGATCTGTACAAGTTGTGGCAAAATTTATTTGAAGGTTTTGAAACAAGTACGGGTACAACAACTCAACAAGACACAGGTGTTGAAGAACATATAAAATTGCTGCTTGAAGAAGTAGTTCAGAAGTATCTTAAGATGAGTATCTCTCAACTGAGACGAGACTATTTGCAGGGGCAAAAAGTTAAGAAAGCAGAAGCAACCAGAAAACAAATAAAAATGAGGACATAACACCTCACTAAAGGAGTTTTCAATTTCAAAACAATTGAAAGTGATGTGACG